GTTGTGGAAATTGTGTGAATTGTCACTGCTTAAAGCTACCACAACTATGTATTCCTAAAATCACATGGCCAAAATGCTGTCCTGGTTCAACAAGTGTCGGAGGGTGCATACCATGCAAAGCTGCAGGAGCCTGTGGAATGCCAGGTTTCGGAATGCCTGGGGCTGGAATGGCTGGATTTGGGATGCCCGGGTTTGGAATGCCTGGGGCTGGAATGACTGGGGCCGGAATGGCGGGGGCTGGAATGGCTGGCTCTGGAACGTCAGGAGCACAGGGGTAAGATCCTGAAAGTTCAGTCATACAATAAATACCCCGAGTTCTTCTTTGCAGCACAGTCTTAAGCAAAAGCTTTAAGAGAGCTACTATTGTACATTTGATAAGGCATCCACTTATCGTGACAAGATTCATAGCAGATGAAATGAGTATTTGATAATGATAGTGATCATTACAGATATCAGCTCCTGATGATGATGACACGATGATAATCTATAATGATCATGATCAGATCAATCTGCTCGAATTTCACGACGAATTTTGTCTGATAGTGAGCATAATCAGCATCACATTGTTGTGTGGTGCTCAGCAAAGTGCTAAACATGAAAGAACTTCTGAAATCTTTTTCAGAAAAGCCGGTCTTCCACTAGCTGGTGGTGGAGGTGCTCAATTGGCCGTAGCGATCCCAATTGCATCGGCTCCGGTTGCTGCCATTCCTGTCAGTGGTGGTTCTATGGCATCATCTTCGGCAAATGCTCCCGGTGCTGCTGCTTCTTCTTCATCACTTGCTGTGCCTTCGCTTACAGGATTATCTGCTTCTGGCGTTGCAGCTCCATCTTATGCTCTACCTGCTGCATCTTATGCTCTGCCTGCATCTTCTGCAGGTGGAGGAGGTTATTCAGCTTGAAACGGACACCGAAAATATTCTCCAAATCCATAAATTTGAACGCATTTTGTGCGAGCACTTCAAAAGCTGCTGTTAGTTCGTATGAGTTCGTTGCTGCTTTCCTTGACAACTGCATGATGACAGTCAAGTGAAATGTTCATGATTCAAAAATTCGTAAAGTGCCATGCACTTCTACAAACAGAATCATTGTGTGCATGTGCAGATGCAATTTTATCGCTCACTTCAATAANTTTTTTTTCGCAACCAAAATTTGATATCACTGACCTAATTAGGATTGAAATGACCCAACTCATCAGCGACTAGGGAACCATTTGTTGTTTTTTTTTTCAAGACCGATCATCAGCACACTCCGTATGTTTGTACTCATCATTAAGATTTAGTGAAAATGGCATCAGAAATTTGATCATCATTGAAGATGATTGATTATTACTGCTCGATAAATGCAAAAAATCAACTTTCGCATTCACATCAGAAAATTATTGATGAAATGAATCATTCTCAATCCACGAGTTTCCGTGTTCACGGATTTGCTTTCCAGTCGAATCGCTCATTTGTTCAGAGGGCAATTGAATCGATTGTTTCGAAAATGATTTCTCATGAATCCCCCCGAATGTTCTGAAATAATAAGGCAATAATGTGTCTCTTCTATGTATAAATAAAATCTTCAATCGAAGTTATCACCTCAAAGCTATATTTCCACCTGAAACATCTCTGAAACGATTGATACATTAATC